CACACCAATTAAGAAGCTGGGTAAAGAGTACTGTATAGAGTGACACAACACAAGATAATAATATGGCAACCGAAAATAATTCAGTGGTCACGGGCGTTTATAATTACAAGAATCTTCACAAGACAACATAGAGAAAAGCAATTTAAAGGAAACAAGACAAAAGAAAATATTAACACATTCTGCAGCCCCATTGCATGTACACATCTCTTATCTGTGTCATCTGGTCAAGAATCAGTCAACTGATATTCACATATGTTCATATTATGCAGTTCAACTCAATCACCCCCTAGCTAGGCCCGGTGATTTACACGAACATATCATGTCCCTCTACGAACACGATCGAATTTTCCACGAAAAAATCGACAATTCTAAAAATTAAATTGTAAAATAACCGCTGATTGCCTGACTTTATCCAATAATGAACTGGATTGAAAAAATAATTAGTACACTTGTCGAACTTCCACAAATATTCCTACCGATGATCGAACCAAAAAACCTAATTATAACATTAATATTGATATAGTCATACTCGCACATACCAGACATGTGTTGATAGCTCGACCAGGCTGTAAGTCGAGCTAACTATATCAACTCGAGTTGATTGTGACGACCTGCGACCTCGATGTCGACTTATGAGACAATGACTGGAAAGATGGGGGCCTTACTACAGGGCAACTCGATACAGTCGAAGAGATACGCGTACCTCAAAGACCTCTGAGGGTGATCTAAGAACGACTAGTAAGATGACGATCTTTTAAGAATAGTGGCTTAAGTCGTTACCACAGACTCCAGTCAACTTCCCACATCTCGAGGTCGAGTTCATTCACCTCACAGTTGGAGGTTTACATCAATGGAGGTCATACCTCGACGACTTAAGAGAATAAGAATGAATCTTAAGAGGATAAGATGGAATCTAAAGATGACTAGAATCTGACTAAGAAGTGATTAGGGTATGCATAAGCACAAAGGTTCCAGACAGCTGGACAGGCTGACCGTGGTCACTCGGGCAGGACATTCCGGACAGGTATTTCCCTATAAAAGGGTTAAGGTATCATCATATTAGGACTTCATATTCCTCATCACCACCATCTTCTTGATACTGACTTAAGCATCCGAGGCTCTTCGCCGGAAATCCCTCCGGTTTTGAGTTCTGCAGGTTTTCGTGGTTGTTCAGACAGATCGGAACTCATTTCGACTGGTTCAATTTAGATCTAGGAGATGACTCATCAAATATATATAGATATTTCTTGATCGTAGATTTTATCAATTTTATTCCTATATTTAATTTGAGTATTTTTGAATTCTTAGTAACACACACACACACACACACACACACACACACACACACACACACACACACATATATATATATATATATATATATATATAGAAATAACAATTAATCTTCACTTAGATTTTACACTTAATAATACTTGAGCTGCAATTAATATTTTTTTTTTCTTTTGAAATATTAATTTATATTACATTTGTTGGTAATTTTCTTAGTCTTGTTTCATCTTATAGATAAGATGGTAAGAAAAATTAGATAAATAATTCTATAAATTATATTTTATTTTACTTGGATTTCACATTATTAGTAGCACAAAGTTAGTATTAACTAAAATTTTGGGCAATTTTTATACTTTTTAAAGTTTAAATTTAAAATAAAATCTTTAATATGGTGAAATATTTATGAATGTTCAACTTTTTTACAGAATAAAACATATGTAGGTAAAACTATATATTTATTCATGTCTCTGAACATAGCCAAACCTATCCGAACCGTTAAAATAATCACGAATCCCAATCAAATTAAATAGTAAAATGTAAATCTCCAAACCAACTATCCTGATTTTTTATACAGTTCTGTAAATTAAATTCTGTCGGTCTCAGAATTTTGGTATGATTCCGAAAGTTTTTAAATCTCCAGATTGTACCGACTCATGCTCACCCTAGTTAACTGAACAATGTAAGAAATGATATTGGTTAAACACAAGGGACTTTAAAATGTCTGTCATAATTGAGACCAAAATGACATGGTTATACTTATACCCATAGCTACCTCAAGTCATCAACTTATTCTTTTTTGAAAATGGTAGAAAATATCCTTGAATGGCAATGCCTTTAATTATAGTTAGTAACCTCAAGTCAATTAAATTACTCGTTTTGAAAATGGAAGCTAAATTTGGTATTTTCTTCCATAGATATTAATTATTTTCCTTTTGCTTCATGCACGTGTGTGGCTGCCTAAATAATTGACCATGGAGAAGAAAAAATATTAAAAAAAAGGTCTAAATAATTGTTTACACATTTTAATATGCATATCGCTTATGTGGCATACACACATTGGTGATGTTAATATGTTAAAAAAATACATCACAAATGTGTGCATGCCACATAAATGGTGAACATATTAACATGTGTCCACTGTGGATAGGAGAGCATTTTCCGAAAAATACATAATTTGCTCTAGAGACATTGTGGGTATATATCACTTTCATATTTTTTAGGTGTGTGAATATAATAAAATAATTATTTATTTAGTTTACCCATCCTTCACTCATCCATTTATTTCATAATATTCAATTCTTACCTTTAACTCCAATTCTATGACCACATTTATCATTGATTGTTACATATGTACCATTCAAAGGGGAAACTCTTTTATCTTAGAAAAAAAAAAAAGAAATAAATAACCATCATACAAAATATATAATTTTACTCTAATTACATTTGGCATTAATTTACTTATGTAAATTATGTCCACAACTAGTTTATTAAATATCATTATTAATATTCATGGCATATAAATTACAATTAATTAATCAGTCTAAATTAGTCCCTCCTAATATTTTAAAATATTATTGAATTCCATAACAAACTTATATTATTAAAATCTATCAAAACAATCAAATAAACCGAATGCCACCACAGGCAATTTTACACATTAAATCCATTGTCATGTAGTAATCATTCATAAAATATTTCTGTATAATTAATTAATTTCATATTAACTAATATATTCCTATCAACTAACACAATTATCACTACAAGTCATTGAAAAAATTTGGTAGAGTGAGGGTGGTTGTAATAGCGACTTCATGCATTGAGTATATAACCAAAAATAATTTGATGAAAATTATTTTTGGTGGTAAGTTTAAGTTGTAAAAGTAAAAGGTTGAGTTTGTAAATATAGAACCAATTTCTCAAAGTGGATAGAGCTTGTGAGTTGTGACTATAATGGTGGAGTAGATTTAAGAGGGGTTATTCGTTTTGACACTTAAGTGACATTTTAAAATTCAAGTTTTTAGTTAAAAAAAAAAAAAAATTAAAATCATTTAGTTAGCATCATAAGAAATTTTAAATTTAGAGATGGGATTTGGTATGAGAATTGGAAAAAACCAAAATAGGGGTCCCCCCCTATGCAGGCCCGTCCCCCTAACCACCGGTTGAGCCGGAAGCAGCTGTCGCACCTTCCTTTCACCGATCTGGGTTCAAATTGGGACCTTCGATGGTAGCTTACCACATCAGCCTCCCTTTCTCGGACCGCGGGTTGAGGTCTTTGGTAGTTGTATCTAAAATTACTCGATCACAAAGCTCCCAAAAAGATGAAAGCCCAACATACTGAACATGGCCCACTAAACACATCTGCCCTCTCGCGAACGATCCAAGATCGCAAGGTTAGGTTTGCCGCTCTCTCGTAGGCCTTCGATTACCCTCAGAGTCTTTTAGAGGAAGCATGTCGATCACCTCTAAGTTAGAAATGGGAATTAATAAAGTTGATGGTGCCGTTCAGTCTGTCCCATCAAGCACTGAATGGATACACACGACGCCATTCTACGCTCCTAGCTGACACATATCATTTAATGTTTTTTCCCCTTTATACGTGTGTAAATACCGACCCCCGGGTCCATCATCGCATCGAGAGGGACACCATCAACCATCAATTGATCATTACCACGTCGTACATAATTATGTTTTCTTCTTCCTGTTTAGGTTGATCTTCCAAGATCATACACTTACCATACTCGTCTTTACTCCTACACATTTATTAAATAAAATTTTCGGAGAAATAATTTCCTTGTCGATCGCCATAACCACTTGGCAATATCAGTGCCCCATTTTAATTTTTTCTTGCATGCTTATTTTTCTCGATCTGTCTATACTCCATACCATTTGAATATATCATAATGAGAATCGACTCAGACATTGTTCAGATTCTTGTAGTATTCTTTGACATTATAGGTGCACTCGTTTTGAGTTATTAATATAATTACTGTTTGATAAAAAAAAAAATACATGCCCCAAATCTCACAATAAAGTTGAATTTTCAGATTTAATGTTATTAGCACGTCATATTTTTTTTTTTTTTTTTTTTTNNNTTTTTTTTTTTTTTTTTATCAAATATACACCTTCATAAACAAATATAATAACGTTAATAAAAATAAGATTGCAATAGCATAAAACAACTTATTGTTTTGTTGGATTTATTGGGCTAATCTTAAAGCCTATTAAAATTTACTTAATCAAGTTACTACCCGCTTTTATCTTCTATCTTGTGATAGACCAAACCATGACATGGTTTATAAGTGAAAAATGCTACGGTCTCGTTACGGAATTATTCTGTTGAAATTTGTAACCGTTAGATCATCATGTAATCATCGGAGATAATTGATCTAACGGTTACAAACCTGACAAAATGGTTCCGTAACGGAACTGTAGCATCTCCCATATATATATACAAAGGTGCTGCCTTTATAACAAAATAAAAACCAAAAAAAAATCCAAAACTTTGATAATTTTTAAACTTCACTCACTCTCTTATCACTACTTTATCTCTTCAGTCCCCTGAACCAAATCATCTTCAAAAACACACAAAAAAAAAGAACATTCTTTCCACTCTTTCACATTGAAGAATCAAAAGAACCTGTCTGAAGAAAAAATGAAACCTTTGCCACCATTCTTCATCTTCCTCATCCTCGTCCTCCTTTCGATCCTTTCGACCGAAAATCTCCACTACGCGTTCGCCAAGCTATGCACCAACGCCTTCCCGCCTCTATCGTCCCACACGTTAAGACACGAGCTCCAAACATCGAAGAACGAGACGTGGAGAAACGAGGTTTTTTCGCACTACCACTTGACCCCGACCGACGAGTCCGCCTGGTCAGAGCTGCTTCCGAGGAAGCTGCTGCTGGAGGAAGGGGGAGAGAGAGATTGGGCCGCCGCGTATAGAAGGATTAAGTATTCTAGCAGGGCCCAAGGGATTCTTGGCGAGGTGTCCTTGCATGATGTGAGGCTTGGGGCCGGGTCGGCCCATGGGGTGGCCCAACAGACGAATTTGGAGTACTTGTTGTTGTTGGATGTGGATAGGCTGGTTTGGAGCTTTAGGAAGACGGCCGGTTTGGAGACAGCTGGCAAGCCGTACGGAGGGTGGGAGGAGCCGGATAGCGAGCTACGCGGGCACTTTGTCGGTTAGTTTTCGCCCGATGATTTTTTTTTTATATATATATTGGATTATACATGCTTTTGTTGTTTGTTTGTCGCTCTGTTTTGTCCATGTTTGTGGTGCCTAAATATGTTCTGTATTTGATTTTCGTTTATGTATTCTAATGTAATATTATTGATAAATTTTTCGAAGGGCACTACTTGAGCGCCACAGCGCAAATGTGGGCTAGCACGCACAACGAAAGCCTCCGAGCCAAAATGACAGAGTTAGTTTCTGCTCTATCTGCCTGCCAGCAAAAAATCGGGACCGGCTATCTTTCGGCTTTCCCCACCGAGCTATTTGACCGTCTGGAAGCTTTGGTTCCTGTGTGGGCCCCATACTACACGATTCACAAGGTACATTAGGCTCTTTTCCCTTCCTTTTTCAAGTTTTTTTCGACTAATTTTCGGCAAACCTTCATTACAGATTTTGGCGGGCCTCGTTGATCAGTACACCCTGGCAGGCAACGAGCAGGCTCTGAAGATGGCAAAATGGATGGTCGATTATTTCTACAGCCGAGTGCAGAGAGTGATATCAAAGTTCACGATCCGAAGGCACTGGGAGTCGTTGAATGAAGAATCCGGCGGCATGAACGACGTGCTTTACCGATTGTACACCATAACGGTGCATTTTTGTGATTTTTTATGCGGGAAAAATTTAGTTCGTATTTTATGCTATCTTGAGCTGATGCATTGGGTTTATCCTTTATTATTGCCCAGGGAGATCAGAGGCACTTGGTATTGGGTCATCTGTTTGATAAGCCATGCTTTCTTGGATTGCTTGCCATGAAGGTTGATGATATATCGGATTTTCATTCCAATACTCACATTCCGTTGGTCGTTGGGTCTCAAATGCGATACGAAGTTACTGGGGACCCGCTTTATAAGGTGTGTGTAGTCGATATGTTTACATTATTCAACTATTGGGTTTGTGTAGATTTTCAGTTTGCATAAAAGGCCGAAAAATGTAGTCGAATTGTAATCTCGATTGTAACTGGAACTCTGACTCGTTTTTCGTTGATCATGGATTGATCAGGAAATAGGAACGTACTTTATGGATATCGTTAACTCCTCTCATAGCTATGCTACTGGAGGCACATCAGCCGGTGAATTCTGGTACGGACATCAAAACTCCGAATAGTGATTAAAAAGATTTTGTTTCCTGTGTGATATTTTGTAATTTACCACTCTGCCTCTGAATCCATGCAGGCAAGATCCCAATCGATTAGCCGATAAACTAGGGACCGAAAACGAAGAATCTTGCACGACTTATAACATGCTCAAGGTTTCGAGGCACCTTTTCAGATGGACTAAGGAGATGGCGTATGCAGATTATTACGAACGAGCTCTTACAAACGGAGTTTTGAGCATTCAAAGAGGTACAGATCCGGGTGTCATGATCTACATGCTCCCGCAAGGCCCGGGTGTTTCTAAGGCAGTAAGCTATCATGGGTGGGGTACACAGTTCGATTCTTTCTGGTGCTGTTACGGAACAGGTATCGATCGATTGAACATTGTAAAACACACCCTTTCGAATCCATTTTTGTTTCAACTTCATTTTTTTATTTTTTTGTTTGCTGCAGGAATTGAGTCGTTTTCGAAATTGGGAGACTCTATATACTTTGAGGAACAAGGAAAGACTCCATCTCTTTACGTAATCCAGTACATAAGCAGCACATTCGACTGGCGTTTGGGAAAGATCTCCTTGAAACAGGAAGTCGAGCCTCTAGTGTCGTGGGACCCACACCTCCGAGTCACGTTCACGTTTGCTGCCTCGGAAGAGGTGCAGGGATCATCGGGCGGATCAACTACGGTAAACTTCCGAATACCAATGTGGACAGCTTCTGGAAGCGCGAATGCAACGCTAAATGGCCGCAATATGGCCCTCCCGTCGCCAGGTCAAATTTGCTCGGGTTCTCGATTTTTTTTTGTGAAACAAAAATCTTTGAGCATCACAATGAAACTTTAACCTCTGTTGCTTGATGCAGGCAATTTTCTCTCTGTCTCCAGAACTTGGACCCCTGGTGACAAAATTACTTTTGACTTGCCAATAACTCTCAGAACAGAGGCCATCAAAGGTAAAACTGTTTAAAACCCAGTCATGAGATATTATAATTCAACTCATAAAATACAACTCATTCAAAGCTTTTCAAACACATCTGCTCGATTTTCCTAGATGACCGGCCGGAGTACGCGTCGCTCCACGCAGTATTTTACGGGCCTTACCTTCTGGCCGGCCTTTCCACCGGCGAGTCGGACCTCAACACGAAATCGGCAAAATCATTCTCCGACTGGATCACTCCGATTCCGGCCAACTATAACTCCCTTCTAGTCTCCCTGTCCCAAGAAGAATCGCTCGTCCTCACAAATTCCAACAATACCCTCGAAATGCAAAACTTCCCTCAACCGGGCACCAACGCGGCAGTCCGCTCGTCTTTCAGGCTCGTCCCGAAAGATCCCGTGCACGGAGGATTCTCGAAGCCACAAGACGCCATCGGGAAACTAGTCGTGCTGGAGCCATTCGACTTTCCGGGCTGGGCCATCGTGCATTACGGCCCAGATAAAAATCTTGGAGTGGCGGGTCAATCCAATTCCAAGGGCTCGGTTTTCCGGTTGGGTGTCGGGCTTGACGGTAGAAATGACTCGGTTTCTTTGGAGCCCGAGGACCAAAAGGGCTGTTTCGTGTACAGTAGGAAAAACGAGTGGTCGGGCGTGAGGCTCGGTTGCGGGTCGAGCTCTTCAGACGAAGGGTTCAAACGGGGCGCGAGTTTCGTGTTGGGAAAGGGAAGGAGCGAGTATCATCCGGTGAGTTTTGTGGCCAAAGGGGTGGAGAGGGGCTTTGTTCTGTCTCCATTGATTAGCATAAGGGATGAGAATTACACTGTGTACTTCAACATGGGTTCATAAGAGTGTTGTGAATTGTGATTGATACATGGGCTTTGTTATATATGCTGCTTCTTTTTCTTTTGTTTGATCTGACTTTTGTGTATTGTAAAAGTTCATTTGGAAATTAATAAATAATATAGTGTACCTATATCCAGTTGTTTTTTGATGCAACTGTGCTCCTGCAACATTGTTTATTTGTTTTCGCCATTTTCGTATACTGAAGGAACAAACAACAAACAATAATTTAAGTAGATATTAGGAGCAAGAAGTTTTTTCATCCTGGAAGGAATTCCTCTTGCGAAATAAAGGCGGCAGAAAGGCTTATAACGTGGGACAGCCCCACATAGAGCTGTCTCGTTGGTTGTTGGCTCTATAACGGAGTCAATAGTTAACTCTTTAGCATTACTGATAGCTATATATGCTTGAAGTGAAATATAAAGATATTTCCATCTTTTAACTTTCATAAGGTGTCACTATTCACCGCCTCTATTAGTACGTACCACCCGTTGGACGATTTTGCCCCAGTTATTTTTTCAAAAACTTCAGAAAATTGTAAAATCCTCCCTACCAGGTAATTTCCGGTGAAAAAATGTCTTCCGGCGAGGTGCCTTTTTGGCCGTCCAGTCGGCCAATCCAGCAGCAGTGGTCGACCAACCGGCTATTTCGACCGCGGTCGGTGGCGTCCGATCGGCTTGTTCGGACGGGTGTATAGGCGCCGGTAGTGGCTGTCGGACTACCTGTGTCCGTCCGACCTAGTCGGCCGATCGTCACCGAGCGCGACCAAAATCGTCGGTCGGTCGACGGATGCCGGTCCAGTTTGGCCGGCTAGACCGGTCGTTTTTTTTTTTTT